GTTTACGTCGTTTTTCAGGTGCAATTAGGGACAACATTTTCCAAGGGCGGACACTGTGACTGAAATAATTCCATATGCGAGAAATTAAAAATAAATTTACTCAAAGGCAATTTTAGGGCAACAAAATGACTTAGACTCAATAGTTACTCGACCGATTTATTTCACAAAATTACATGTTAAAAATTGCTTTATTAATTCTTTTTTTTTAATAACTTTTTTACATCGTAAATTACTCGAGCTTAAAAACTTCCATTTGAAAAAACTAAGTTTATGGTCTTTAGTTATTTATGGACCACCCTGAATAAATAAATTTGGTATGAAAAATTGGCGTTTTTTTTTCCAAAAAACAGCGAGCTGAATATTAAATACATTCAGAGATTACTTCTGGAACTCCCTTTACAAAGTTGTGATTAAGTGGGGAATAAATTCCAGAAAATCTAAAGCAAACGTTTTTCGGAAAATCAATGGCATTCGTAGATTTTAATTCCTTGATGGGCAAGTTTTGATGTGAAATAAAAGTATACAAGATGATTCAAAAAAAATTACACCTTCCAACTAGAAAATTTTGATAAAACGAGTAAATCCAAACATTTCTTATATTATATTTGGAGGCTTTAATGGATTTTTTGTCCCGGCCATGTTCGGTTTTTGGTCTTAAATTTAAGTGTAATTAGGGTGGCATATTAATTACAATTTTTTACCGTTGTTTTTATACTTGTCACATTCTCCATTCTTTTGTATTTTACAATTTTCCATGTGTCTGTGCCATTGTCTAGTGGTAAAGTTTGTCTTGCTGTTTTTGTAATTTGATGTAAATTGTGAGACAGTTCCTGTAAGTGTGGTAGAGTGTATTCAAGATAAGCTCTGCTTGTGCCCAGGATGAGAATTTAGACAAGAAATGGTGACTGATGGACCTCCCAGACTTACTATGGAATGCGACTTAACATTTAGCAAAAAAATATACTTCCAATAGTTAATTGTATTAGTAATTTCTACATAAAGCGTATRAAGATTTGCAAAACTGCTGGATTACAAGCATTTCAGAGAAAARCGGTTTAAAAGAATATTCTTCGATTGTTAAATAAATAATTCATAAACTGAACACCTTTTCACTAAATTATCAATATATTGTAAAATCCTTCAACATAGACGTTTAAAATCCGTAAACACACTTTTTTGGGCAAAATACGAGATAATAGCAACGTGTTGAWAAAAACTTTTCCACTTTTTGCCTCTTAATATGATATATTTGACATTTTTATAGAAATAAGCTATACTTTATTCACTTCAATATCTAAACCCGTTTTGGGCTATTATCCATTAAAAGTTATTTTCAAAAAATWACGTCTTCAGTTATWTAGAAAAAAAAAATTGCAGCCTCTGTATTATTTTGTTTATATTAATTATTTTGATAYTGTTTTTAAATAAATAATRAAATTAACAATACGTAGTTAGTGAAGCAGTTAAATGCAAATMAGTKGACCTGAATCTACCCACTTTCAAAAAGTCAATAAACGTTTCCAATTTTAGTCAATTCTGATACGATTTAAATGTTGTTTACATGGAATTTTATCGAGTAAAATTTCCATTCTACTATTTCCACCTAACAATAGATAACACCTTGAGGACAGTGTTTTGCCTACATAAATTTGCAACGATTATTTTGAAAGCTTCAGAATATTTCACTTTAATCGCTCTCCTTCAGGTCATGCATGTTTAGAAGAAGGTTAGTAATTTAACAGACGGTGTAAACGGTGTGGATAACAATTGAAAATTAATTCAAAAAGAATAAAGAAAGAAAGAAATTTGAATKTATTCACATGTTTAGCAAATAATAATTATCGAAAGTTGATTAATAATCAGCGAAGTTTGACGCCGATATACCAGTCGATATGAACGCTARTTTAAACTTAAAAAGTGTTAGAAATTTTAATATGCGATTGTAGCTTTTTGGAATTTTAAGGAAAAGGCTATACCTACTCTTAAATCATTCTTTATCTGTATTAATTCAAAAATCGATGAAACTAAAAAAGTGCAGATATTTGGAGAGGTTTTGGGAAAAAGTTTCTCGCCTTGCAGTATTCCAACGTCTTTTACCTGCAAACGATTTTTTTAAAGCAAATAAATGCATTTCCGTCTTTTCGTTCTTTGCTACTTTACATCCTTCTTTAACATCCTGTYACCCCAGTTTCTTTACCTCTTCATTTGAATTTTGATGCAGAGTTTATATGTAAATATTMATTTCTGCATGTAWGCAAGTGTTGTTTTTTGCCTTAAGTTGTTCATGAAGCTTCAAATAGATCGTGAAAATCGGACTAAGAGCAGAAAAGTGATCGCTGCAAGACCAAACAGTTGACTTATATCTCCACTCTAAATGGATGAAATTGCCGAAAAATTAAAAAATCGTCTCGAGCTATTTGATTTATCTTTAAACTTTTGGTGTTGAGATCGCAACATCTTTATTTTTGTCCAACTAGCAGTAAGTATGCCAAACTGTTCGAAATTTTTCATTTTTTATTTGACACCCTGTAGAAAATTTATCTGACGTGCTAAATTTTTACCAAAATACTGACGAACAAAAAGCAAATGGGACAAGATAATGCTTCAAAAAGAAATAAAATCGCTCGAAGCAATCAGAATCTATCCACTTCCAAAGTTAGTGCAAATTTGACGGTGTGAGGTTCATTTTGTTGAGCAGTTTACATAAAATAAATTTAAAAGAATTGCTGAAGTATTGGAGATGATTCCTTGTGTGTTATATAGGTATAATGTAAGAAACATTCGAAGGAAAAATTAAATCAGTAGCGTTTTAAAAAAAAATATGCGAACTTTCTTTCCATTTTATCTACGTATATTTTTAATTCTTCCAATTTCAACCAATGAAAATAGCTATACTTAAGTATTTAAATAACATTAACTGTATATTTTCTACGTTACTCAAATATATAAAACACAAGCTTAATCAAGCATTTCTTGCGCACGTCCCGCAAAAAAAGGCAGAAAAACGAACTCATTAGATGCCCAAACGCGTTCGCATGCCAACCATATCGTACCAATGAAATAAGTATAGGTAGGTGTAGGTATTCAAAAGCCAAAGATAACAGAAACAATTGAAGAACCCCATTACTTGCTTCCTATTGTAGAATAGTTCTATACACCTGCGGTTACGTGTGGTGAATCATTGCATTACAACACGCCTACGTTAGTGTGTTGCTAAATTTTAATAAATAGGAAATGGTTCAGTGGCGACTCGTCTTCATTATAAGGAAAAGCGTCGTCAGTTGGTTAATTAAAGCTCGATGAAGGCCTAGAATAAAAGCTAGTAGGTATGCGAGCCGTCGATATTTCGAGTGAAAACTTGGCACGCACTTAGGGTCCCGTCCAGGTCACAATTAGCCCTTAACCAGCCTTTAAATAGGACTAGGAAAACGTTTGAAAACATCACGTTTAATGTACGAAATATTTCTAAAGGACTTTTTGGTTTAACAACCAATGTAGTTTTAACAACCAAGATCGATGTAGGAATGCCCTGTTAGCTACTTTAATTTTTAAAAACCTTTCCTTAAAACCCTTTCCGAAAAATCAGGACGATCTCGATTGATATCTGTTGTAAATTCGTTTCTATGAGAAATTGCCAATCTCTATAGCGGCGATAAGCAAATAGTTAACATTTAAAACGCTCTCAAAATTTCAAACAAGGAATTGGAGCTCTATTATCAATTATGCGTTATCGGAATTTCTAAGAGCTTACCACTCGAAAACGGTTAAGAGCTTCTAAAGACTTGCCTTTTAGCGGGTAGGTTTTATCAAAAATGTTAACCTGTTAACCTGTTAACAGAAGAGTAAAATAAATAAAACTATTTAAATAACCATTTTAATGAACCGACTCTTCCGTTTTTTTCTTAATTAGGATAATTCACTATTTCGAACTTTGAATTTTATTACAAACATCTTATTTTTATATGCAAACGAAGATAGAATGAATCATCATATTGAAAAGTTTTCACTTTTTATTTTAAAAAACATTTTTTTGGCTTGGAACAACAAAAAAACAAGTTACATATTTGGTTACAGATTAATAATAGGGAAAAATATTTCAGTATTAGTTTATCTGACTTGCTTTATATAGATATGTATATCAGATGAGTCATAAACATGTTGCCCAATTTTTCTTTCTGTTACTTTTTACGCACGTTTTTTATTTGTTAATTCTCTTTTACTTAAGTAATTAATTGTTATTAGTAATAATTGATAATTTATTTACGTTTCTTTTGTGGATATTTATTCTCATCACCACTGCAACCTTATTAAGTTTGGTTTTAATTATGCAGAAATGGTTCTCATTATGGGACATGATTCGGACCTTGAAACAAATTGAAAATAAACTTATTTAAAAAAAATTGGAAAATGCACCCAGTGGTTGCGCCAAATCATCCACCATAATGTCAAGGAAATGCGCTATGAAATGCTAATGAAATAGAAATGATAATTTATATTGCGCATAATTATTAATCAAACGCAATTATAAAATCATGTTTTTTTGCGTGCATTTCACATAAAAAATGCGATAATAATAAATAATAAAAGTCCAAAACTTTGACAAGCACGCTTAAGAAACATGTTCAAGATGTTATAATTGTATAATAATATAGTTATGAATTTTAAATTCAAGTAAAGTTATATCAGTAAAAAATTGTAAAACTGCATAGCACATTTCAAAGCGTACATTCAAAGGGGCTGATTTAAAAAATACTTTAAAAGCGAAAATCATAGACAGACAGGTAATACCAAACCTTAAATGAAGTAAAAACAAAAAAAACACTTTAATTTTAAAGCACGTTCTCAATATGCCTAAAAGGCAAAAGTAGTCTTTTTAATATCAATTTTCCAAATTGACCGATGTGAATTATTGAATTTAAGGGGCTCATATGTGCTGTTGCCAAGGTTCTGCTGACAAATTTTCACGTCGCAACCACGCATCTTACTTAAGTCACCTGCTTGTTGATGTTTCGTGACAGTGACGGACTTGTATTATTTAAAAAACCGAATTTGCAAAATTGGAAAATAGCAACAAATGGGTTAGAACTGCTTGAAGTTTTCAAGTACGAAATGGAAAGCGGAATGGAATGTTGTGAAATCGAACTAACTTAGTGTTACATAAGGTATTTACCCCTTCTCGCAACACAAAAAATTGCATAACGTTGTTGAACTTTATTCGAAAAAGCATCAGTCGGTGGCAGTGAACGATTCCTGATAAACAATCAAGTCTGTGTAACGTTTTACGACGTTTTAAAATGTCCAAACTATTTAGATATTATGGTGAATTGTGTGCCACTCATCCTTGGGAAGTAATTGTAGCTGTGCTAACGCTGACAGCATGTTTTTTGACTGTAGAAAAACAGGTAATCCCAGTTACACAAAAACAGCCCCCATGTGTTGGTGGCTGCTTGGAAGAACAATTTCATGCTGCTGATATGGTCCTCATGACCGTTATTAGATGCCTGGCTATTATGTATAGTTATCATCAATTTCGAAACTTGCAAAATTTAGGATCAAAGTACATCTTAGGGATTGCAGGCTTGTTTGTTGTGTTTTCCAGCTTCGTATTTACCTCAACTTTGCTCAGTTTTCTTCACATCGATCTTGTGGATCTCAAAGATGCTATGTTTTTCTTCTTACTGCTCATTGACTTATCCAAAGCTGCTACTTTAGCACAATTTGCTTTAACCGCTTCTAGTACGGAGGATATAAGTAAGCAGATAGCTAGAGGAGTGTCTGTCTTGGGCCCCACTTTAACTCTGGATACACTTGTGGAAACTCTGGTGATCGGTGTAGGAACACTGTCAGGAGTAAAGAGACTAGAAATGCTCTCATATTTTGCAAGCCTATCAGTTATTGTAAATTATGTAATATTCATGACATTCTATCCAGCCTGTTTAAGTCTCTTATTGGAGCTTGGCCGGATTTCCAATTTTTATGGAGAAAAACAGCAGTTTATAAGGAAAAAGTTACTCGAGGAAAATGACAAATCGAATCCTGCAGTGCAAAGAGTGAAATTGATAATGTCGTTTGGCTTATTAGTGGTTCATCTGCATAGTCGCTGGGGAGTTAATGATGAGTTTCAAGAGTCAATTAACAACCTGAAAGAGTCTGTAGATTGTTCAGATGATACGTCCTTCTATGGTTTTATGATGAAACAGTTCGTACTGGGTGCGGATCATATAGTAATTCTTATTCTTCTACTAACGTTAATGATCAAGTTCATCTTCTTTGAGCCTAAAGAGCAATTAAAAGAACAGCTGGAACAAGATGTTTTAATTGAACTCAAGAAGGACATCCAGAGTAAACGATCTCACATTCGAACAACATCAATAAATGCCGAATCTCAGACCGAAGGTCTTCGTTTAGAATTCCTAGACTTTGAAGATGGCACTAGTGATAAAGACACTGATGTGTCGCGAAGCCTCCAAAGCTGCCTGGAAATTTATCGCACTGATAGTGGAGCTTCTCAACTTTCCGATAAGGAAATCATGATGCTTGTGGACACTAAACATATCCCGGCGTATAACTTGGAAAAGGCTGTTCAAAACCCGGAAAGAGGAGTGAAAATTAGACGTAAAATGATTGAGAACCAGATTAAGCAATCAGTCTTCCATACTATGCCTTATAAAGATTACGACTATAGTAAAGTGATGGGTACTTGTTGTGAAAATGTTGTTGGGTATGTGCCGATTCCTTTAGGAGTCGCAGGACCGTTGCTGCTAGACGACCAATTTTATTATATTCCAATGGCCACAACTGAAGGATGTTTGGTTGCCAGTACAAATAGAGGTGAGTTTATCKTTTATAACTTCTTTAGAAGATTAGTTTTAAGGGCAATTTCTAACATGAATGCACCGAACAGGTGTCCAAACAAATGTCTTCGATTACCTAATRTTTACTATTTGATGTTTTCGCTCTTTCGACTATAATTTATTTGGCTTTCTCAGCTGTTAAYRTTTCTGCTCCAAGAACATTTYTTTCYATTGCRCTCTAGTRTTTGTTTCAAAATTTTTAAAAGCAGTTCATCAACTTCATAGCTTAMTGCAAAATACATCATGTGTCGCGCTCACAAAAGGCTACCAGCTATTTGCGCTACGACGGTTCTATTTCCAAAGAAACTGGTTCCGGGCTTTTCTAATACTGATCAATTTATTTTAAACAGATTTGGTTCGTTACAACTTACAACTTGTCTTTTTTTTAAATCAAACTGAAACTTCTCTAAACTGTCAAGAGTCACCAAAACGGAAACTTTTTCTACCTACTCTCTTAACAATAGTTTCCATAGTTTCCGACATCATGTAATGCATMATTTAACAACACCTTAGCAGRATCTACACATTTGCAAATAAATGTTATTAGCAAGTACCAGTTTACCATARAATATCCTKAAAGTTTGCATCATTAACACAATTAATAATTTGTAATGTACAGTTTTATTGAGCCCATTCAAACTATAGTGGACATATTTTCYTACAACAATTAATATATTATATTTAYAACACTTAGTACATCACATCTTAATAATAATAGACAATAATACTTCATTGYGGGGGTTTAAATTCGAACCCCCTCCGGAATCCCTATGTTTTCTTCCACGAGTAATACATTTCGAGTGGCTTGTTCTCCTTCCAATATTTATCATTCACTTGGCC